CCGGCCGGCGGGGGCAGCAGCCCTGGGCAGGGAGCTCCTGCTCCTGCCGGGCCAGCCACAGGCCCCCACCTTCTCTGGCGCCCATGACCCGCGGGCCGTGACCCTGGACTTCCGGAACGCGGGCATCCCGGCCCCCCCACCGCCCCTGCCCCCCCAGCCGCCTCCGCCTCTGCCCCCACCGCCCACGGAGCCCGCCAAGCTGCCCTTCAAGGAGCTGGAGAATCAGTGGCCCTCCGAGGCCATTCCCCCCGGCGCCCGCGGGCGCGAGGAGCTCACCGAGGACTTGCTGGGCCTGGCCAAGGTGCGGGGCTCCTGGCGCCGGCCCCTGAAGAAGCGCCACGAGGACCCGGTGGGCCCTGCCTCGCCCGAGCGCTCGCCCCCGCAGCCCCTCTTCCGGCCCCGGTCGGAGTTCGAGGAGATGACCATCCTGTATGACATCTGGAACGGCGGCATCGACGAGGAGGACATCCACTTCCTGTGCGTCACCTACGAGCGGCTGCTGCAGCAGGACAGCGGCATGGACTGGCTCAACGACACACTCTGGGTGTACCACCCCTATATCCTGCTGCACATGGTGGGCGGGCGGGCAGGCAGGTGGGGTGTGCGCTGACGGGGCTGCTGTCCGGGCGAGGGACACCCCCACACCCCTGCCCTGCAGGGGGCTGGCCAGCGACGGTTGTCACGCGGTAGGCCGGGCCTGGCCAGCTGGGTCCCTCGAGCGTTTGGAGGGGCTCTCGGGCGTGTCCATGTGGCCCTTGACCCAACCCCACCCACCAGCCTCTCTTCGGCCAAGAAAAAGAAGCGGGACGACGGGCTCCGTGAGCACGTGACGGGCTGTGCCCGCAGCGAGGGCTTCTACACCATCGACAAGAAGGACAAGCTCAGATACCTCAACAGCAGCCGTGCCAGTACCGAGGAGCCCCCCGCGGACACCCAGGTGCGGCCAGGCGTGGCCAGGGCTGGGGGCCACGTGCAGGCGGGCAGGCGGGCCGCAGACCAGGGCCCTGGGGCCCCGGCACTGTGGGCAGGGCGCAGAAGTCACACCAGGGCGAGGCCTGCACTTGGGGGCCGTGGTCGGTCGTGGGGAGCGGCAGTTGCACCAGGGTGGCAGCGCTGGGCTGGGGCCGGCCCGCGGGTTCCGCGCACCTGTGCAGCCACCCGGCACGGGCCGGTCAGACTTGATCTCCCACGAGAGGCTGCTGGGGCGGGGTGCTGACCACTCCCGCAGCGCGTACCCGCCCGGCCAGAGTGCAAGTTGGGGGACAGCGGCAGTGCTGGCGTGACTCACCACCGTTGTCGCCGTACATAGTCCGGGGCCGGGGTCTGCGGGGACTAACTGGGTCCTGTGTGATCCCGCGGGGCGCAGAGGGCCGAATGGGGCAGTTGTTGACTGGGGGAACGTGGGGGTGCGTCCTCGTCCTAGCCATAGGTCACCCTGAGGCGGCGTCCCCAAGCGAGCGTATCTAGGTTCTGGTGGGAGGGACCCGGTGGAAGGCAGGTGAGGGCAGGGCGGGCAGGGCGGGCGGATCGGGCGCCCGCTCTGACCGGTCCCCCGCAGGGCATGAGCATCCCGGCGCAGCCCCACGCCTCCACGCGGGCCGGCTCCGAGCGCCGCTCCGAGCAGCGCCGCCTGCTGTCCTCCTTCACCGGCAGCTGTGACAGTGACCTGCTCAAGTTCAACCAGCTCAAGGTGAGGCCCAGCGCCGGCGCCAGGCAGCGGGGACCCGGCCTCAGGCATTTATTCCGCCCTCCTCTCCCCAGTTCCGGAAGAAGAAGCTCAAATTCTGCAAAAGCCACATCCATGACTGGGGCCTGTTTGCCATGGAGCCCATCGCGGCGGATGAGATGGTCATCGAGTACGTGGGCCAGAACATCCGGCAGGTGGGTGCTGCTCGGGGCGGGGCCGCGGGCTGGGGGCGGGGCCGGCGGCTGGGGGCGGGGCCTGGGCGGCCCTTGCTCAGGCGCCTCCCGGCCAGGTGATCGCGGACATGCGGGAGAAGCGCTATGAGGACGAGGGCATCGGCAGCAGCTACATGTTCCGGGTGGACCACGACACCATCATCGATGCCACCAAGTGCGGCAACTTCGCGCGCTTCATCAACCACAGCTGCAACGTGAGCGCCGGCGGGCGGGGCAGGGGAGGTGGGGAGAGGCGGTGGCCCTTCCGGCACCCCCAGCTGTGGGAAGGTGGGCAGCGGCAGGCCTGGAGGGTTCCCGATTGCTGGTGTCCACTCTCAGAGGCGACCGGCGGGGCTGAAGCACCGTCTTTAGCTCAGGTTTAAGTAGCTTCACGTGGCTGGGGAGAGCCGTAGTGGACGCGCAGGTGTGGGGGCAGCGTGCCTCACAGGGGCGACTGGGCCAGGACGGGGCAAGGCCCCCTCGGCCATGCTGGTCTTGGCTCACCCCTGGGGTGTGGCCCTCACAGCTCTGGCGGGAGGACCTGGGGGGCTGCCATCACCCAGGGCGCAGCCAGGCCGGGGCAGGGAGGGGCACCCCCAGAGTGGCCGTGGCGACGGCCCCCAGCGTCGAGGTGTGAGAAGCATCTCTGGCGGGCCGGCAGTCACGGCAGCAGTCCCGGGTTTCCCTGGGGCTGGTCAGAAGGGTGTCCAGCAGGGGTCAGGAGGCCTCTGCAGTCCAGGTGGCTGGTGTGGGCAGGCGGGGAACGGGCACCCCAGCCGGGCCGGCAAGTTGCACGAGTCCAGCGGGGCTCGGTCCCTGTGCCTGGAGCAGCCCCGGCCCAAAGCCCAGCGCGCCACAGTGGCCAGCCCCTGTGGACACGGCACTGCGGCTCTGAGCCAGCATGGCCGTATTTTCCACTTATTTACCTTTCAAGCTTATTCACTCGTGCACAAGAGCTGGGGTACAGGTGTGGTTAGAGGGCTCCCCAGAGGCAGAGCTGGAGGCAGAACGGGGACCCACACCGCTGAGGGGCCGCGTGCCCTGGGCCCTGGTCCGACAGTATTTGCAAAGTCGAGCAGCCAGGGCCGTCGGGGCCGAGGAACGGGGTCTCCATGCCCCGTGTGCAGCCGGAGCGCGGGAAGTGGCTTCCTCAGCCGGCGCCGGCGCCACGTTGGTCGATGGGGCCCGGCCCGGGTGCGGGGCCAGGGGGCTGCGGACTGGGGTGGGGGGGCCTCACCGTCTCCCCGCCCCGCAGCCCAACTGCTACGCCAAGGTCATCACGGTGGAGTCCCAGAAGAAGATTGTCATCTACTCGAAGCAGCACATCAGCGTCAATGAGGAGATCACCTACGACTACAAGTTCCCCATCGAGGACGTCAAGATCCCCTGCCTGTGCGGCTCCGAGAACTGCCGGGGGACCCTCAACTAGGCCCCCGCCCGCCCCACTCAGGTGCTGCCCGCCCGCGGCCCGTGCCCTGAGCGGGCCCTGCGCTGCCCGCCGCCCCGTGGGTGCTGCTGCGCCGTCTGTTTGCTCTGTTTGCTTCCTTGGCGCGAGAAAAGACGTTTTAACCGTTGAAATGTGAAGGCAGAACCAGAGCGGCCGCGGGGGCCCAGAGCCGCCCAGAGGGCGCCGCTGGTGCTGGGCGGGGCCGCGGGCACCTCAGGACAAGCTGGGGCCCTCGCCGGCCCCCCTCCGCAGACCCCCTCCCACCAGCCTGGCCCCCAGCAGCCGGGGGCGCCACGCCGGCCCACCTCGCCACCCCCAAAATCTTGGTTCAGTGTTTACTTTCTCATTCGAACGCCAGCAGTGGGGGCACCCCGGGGCGGGCGGGTGTGGCCCCCCCGCTCCTGTATCGCCTGGCCGGGGTGCAGGGCGCCTGCCAGTGGTGTCTGAGTGGACGCGTGTGGCACTTACTCCTCCTATAAGCTTCACCCACTCACCCGGCCCCCCGCCAGCAGCCCCCCAAGAAGTCACGAGCGTATTTATTTTCGGAGCGAGAAGATTCTCTCAGAGGAGGAAAGCCCTGGGCAGCGTTGGCGGCTGCCGTGTGCCCGCGACTTCTCCGCCCAGGCGCGTCGGGGTCTGTTCGGGCTCAGTTTTCTCCCGGGCGCGAGAGCCCACGCGGGGAGAGGGGTCTGGACGTTCAGAACCAGCTTCCGCCCGTGGCTGCCGCAGGGACTCTTCTCGGGACATTGTTTCTTGTGGAAACACGTGGGAAGACTGTTGCTCATTTCTTTGTACTTCCGGGAGCCACGCACAGGCTGCCGCCCAGAGCAGTGGCCGGGCGGGCGCCCTGTGGGTGTGGCCGGGCGCGGCCGGCCGGCCTGGGTCCGCCGCTCTGGAATCTCAGCTTGTGTCAAGCTTGTTATCATGTAAATTCTGTACAAAGAATTGTTATTTTTCTCTCTCTGGCCGCGGGTGGTTTGCTGTTCCCTTCCCTGGGTGCAGCCTATCTGTCCGAGGCTGCACCCGACCGCCAGGACCCACAGCCGCGGGCGCTGGGGCTGGGCACGGCGGCGACCTTCTCTTCCGTTTGCAGTTCTCTGCTACGTGTGCGACCGAGGAAGTAATTTATTTTTCACACAAGGAAGTGTGTAGCTCAGAGACGGCTCATTTCAGTCACCCGTGCGGCCCCCAAGGGGCTGTCCTCACCCGGGGCACCTGCGAGGAAGCAGGGCAGGGCCCGCGGCCCCTGCCCGGGGCCCCCCGCTGCCCCACATGGCTTGCAGGGCCCAGAGCGTGCCTGCGCGTCCCCTCGGCCTGGCTCCCCGCCGGGCACCTGTTTGCCCCGAGGAGCCGGGGTTTCTCTGCCTTTCTCCCCTTGGCCTCGTCCTGCCGCCCGGGCCGCCCGTACGGAGGCCCGTCACCTGTCCGCACCTTGTTTTGAAGAGAAGTGTTTCCGTTGTGGGTGTGTCTTGCTGTAAATATTTGTTCATATTTTTGTGAATTCAATACTATGTACCATTGTATTATAGTAACTTTTATAAAGCAAACCATAAATATACTGACTTTTCTTACAGCTACGCCGTCTCGTGCTCTCCTCGCCCCCTGCCCCCACCCCTGTCGGGGCCCGCTGTCCCAGAGGGGCCGGCCGGGCTGGGCCTAGCTGGACGGCTCGTGCCCCTGGGCCACGGGTCCCAGCTGGGCCCCCATAGTTCGTGAGCGCGGCTGTGCAAGGCTGCTGTCCCCGCCACGACTCGACGCTCAACGTAGGCCCTCTGGTCTGCGGCTAGGGCGGCCAGAGCTGGGAAGAAACAGGTCCCCATGTCCTGTCCCTCGAGGTCCGGGCCAGGGCAGGCCCGGCCCAGCTTGAGCCTCCTTCGGTGTGCGCCCGTCTGCTCGCGGCGGGCAGCTCACGCCCCAGCCGGGACCCGGAGCCTTCACCTCGCGAGCGGCGTGGCTGAGCCCGGCAGCTTCGCCTGTGAGCAGGTGGCCACGACCGGGCCGGCGCCTGCAGCGTCCACCCAGGCGGGTGGCCCTGGCGGCAGCGGGTGAGGCAGCCCGGGAGGCGGCGGCGAGTGCTGTGTCTGTCGGCCACCCGGTGAACGCTGGCTGGGGCCAGTGGGTGCCCTGGGTGCTGGGCAGGGGGACAGGCCTTCCTCGTGCTGGCCGGGCTCGGTTCTAAGCCCAACGAGAGGGAAGGACAGACGCTGCCGTGTGGACAAGGGGAGCCCCGTGTGGGGGCTCCCACCGGGAGGGGGGTGCAGTTTAAAATGGGGTGGTCAGGCAAGCCCAGGTTGTGTGCATCCGCACAAAACTCGGGAGAGGGGGGACCGGGGCTCCCGGGGAGGCCCCGGCACGGGGCTGGACTGGGGACCTCGCGGGCCTAGTGCCGGGAGAGGAAGGCAAAGCAGAGGCCACGACCACGAGCCGGTCAGCAGCGCGGGTGGCCGCAGGACCAACGGGCGGGGCACAGCCTGTGCAAGAGCGCACCCTAGCCACAGCTGAGGCGGCCCTGTACCCACCGCGAGGGCCTCAGCCCCAGACGGACCCGGCCGCAGCTGCTCCTCCGCAGGCCCCATGGGTCACCCTCCCTCTCCACACCTGCCCGCCGCCCGCAGCCCCTTCCCACCACTTCTGCACAGCGGGAGCCCACAGCGAACCGGACCTGAGTAGGTGGAGGGGACCAGGCAGGGCTGAGCAAGGGTTCCGGAGAATTCACCCACCCAGGGCCCTCCCCAAACGAGGGCGAGCACAGCCGGCCACAAGGCTGGCCCCTGACCTGGGGCGAGGAGGTGGCCGCTGAGACCACCGCATCCAGGATGTGCGAGGCCGGCTGGGCGCTGGCCCAGGCCGCACAGGAGGGGACCCTGGCCCCGTCAGTGCTCCGCCCTGCACCCCACTGGCACCCGCGGATTGCTGGCAGAAGGGAGGCCAGCGCCCCGCTGCGGGCCATCTCCAGCAAGAGCCGGTCCGAGACGGCCCCAGCTTTCAACATGTGCTGGAGCCAGGCGCTGGCCTGAGTCCGGCAGGACCAGACTTGGCCCCTGACCGCCGCTGTAGGCTCGGGGGGGGG